GAGATCCCCAAGCATCCTTGCTGCGGAGGGGTCGGTTACCGATCCGTTGTTGTTTGATCTCTCGGGTACTCATTCGGCATAGGGAGATGTTTCCGGCGCTACTGTGCTAGGAGTCTCCGGGTGACTTTGCAGCTAAGCGAAAGCCAACTGCTGTGCCTGCAATATATTAAAAATACTGCAAAGACTCACTTCATGTTCTTTCCGTACTGGGGTTTTTTGAGCTTCCTGTTGGTCGATATGTCGTATGCTACCATTGGTGCGCGAGGTTTCGTCGACTTGTTGTACGCCTTGCGAGCCCGTGTCCTCTTAATTGATCCAGATGCATTATCGGTGTTCTGCGACGTCGAGCCAGCCACTAGAATAACCACACCATTTTCGTCATGATTTCGGGGTAGTCGTTCTCGACTTTGCTTACCGAGCAGGACATTTTAACCTGAAATCAAAGGATCTTGGACAAGAAAAAGTGTGAAAGATAATGTGCGTTTGTGCAATGAAACCAACAAGAAAATAATCACTATTATTTTTAGCCCCACGGTGGGTGCCAAACTGTTTACCGTGAAAATGGTAACAACAATTAAATTTGTAAATGTGATTCTAAAAATATGTGATCTATTCTCGAGATAGTTGTTAGAGCAGATGATGCTAAGAACGTGAAGTTTAACGATGAAGTGCATGCTAAAATGAGGCAGTAATTAAACCGAAGGGGCCTGTTGCCCAGATGCAGAATTGGTCGATGGGGACCTCGGGGTCGAGATTTGAGTCGAGCTCGAGCTATCGGGGGCAGACGGTAATGGGATAACAATTAAGGATACGATTAATCAAGGCTCTTTACGACCGATATTGAGCAATATAGTGAAGAACAAGTAAGAGAACGATAGATATTAACCTCGGACCAGTGAGAACGAGCAAGTTAGGAAGAAAAGAGAGAGAGAAGTATTATTGCACTTGTGGAGACATGGAGCAACATCAGCCCTTTACAAGGTAGGGTGAGTCCCATTTATATAGGAGGGGGGACTTGGCTACAAGTATGTGGAGATTAATTACAAAATATGGAGATGGGATGGCTTGACATGATGCCTCAGCATAGACTCTGGATAGGCCGGCCTTGTCAGACTTAGTTGTGTGCCTTGGGAGCTCCCCCCTCTGTCCTGGCTTCGGTCTCCATTTTCTCTGAGTCGGGCTCCGACGAGCCCCGAGATCAGGAACTCGGTTGTGGTCTCCAGTCCTCAGGGTCCCGAGGCATGCTTATGAAATGAATTGACAGTGAGAAATCAAGTCTTCTGATTTTGCCGCATACAATACACACCCTCTCATTAACACAAAGACACGAACACATTGGTTCAAAACTCTCTCTTACCCTAAAAGCTTTCTGCTTTCTTTCTTTGTTACTTGCTACCATTTTTTAGTCGGCTGTAAGCCAAGGCTAATTATTGTGCTCTCCTATTCTTCACCTTGTGTTTACTATCTCTATACTGGTTTGCTCTGATTTCAATTCAAGCCCCAAAAATAATATGTTTCTTTTAATGTTTCAGTTCATCATGTTTCTTATTTGTTTTTACCTATGGTTTTGCTGTTCAACATGTGATTAATCTATTTGCTTCAACATGCTCTCATGAACTAGTAACTTGACTATACTCTGTTTAATGCATGTCTACTAGTTCTAGCATGCACTTGTTGGGCTATTGCTCAAGTTGTTTTAATATTATGCTTAGCCATGTTTAGTATAAAATCCTATACTCTACTATCTCCCAACTCCCATAAATCCCCCTAGGCATCTATGGTTCTGTAACTGTGTTCTAATTAACACTCCCGAATCTATGTCTTACTACCTGCACTAAGGGCAAATGACTTCTGCTTGTTATGTGTTCATCACACCTGCCGCATTTATCCCTAAACCCCAATTGACCCTGTGTGGAGACTTGCTCCCTGAGTGTTTGCTGAACTTGCTTAATTGACCTGTTGTTTGTTGAGTTATATGACTATTCTCCAAAAATTGTTTACTTAACAACCCTCTTATTTACAAAACTATTTCAAGAAAATCTCTTTAACATTGTTTTCCCACTAAAACCTTTCAAACGGTGTCAAGAACTCTCACTTTACTCCTAAGTCACTAGGTTCTGCCCCCTCCAGTGTGTGTACTGCCTTGGGATCCTCTTAAGAACCCTCCGAACTCTGGCACACTGAGGCTGGCCCTTCCACACTGCACTTACTCAATTTGGTTACCAAGTCTAGGTGTGAGCACTTCCCAGGATCCTTGAGATCCTTAGGGAACTCTGGCGCACCTAGACAATGATATTGTCTATGAAACTGGCATTTGAGGCTATTGGAGGTCTTGGGAAATTACTTGGGCGTGCTTCAGGCTCCCTATAGTGTAAATTCTTCTTTTCCTTTTATCTATTTATGTAATTTATTCATATGATCTGTAATAATTTGTAAACAAATATTGGGGTAACTAGTGAAAAGGGTGGGTAGTTACATATTTGTGGGGTAATATGGGTAGAATACATGCCTATAGGACTTTATATTTTGCTATGTTTGCCTTATTATGTTAGAAATCATGCCTATAGGTCTCAAGTGGTTCCAATAATAGAAGTCATATTTGTAGGTCTTAAAATCAACTTCACAAGTAGATACCATACCTATGGGATATGATCCAATCCAACTTCTATTATAACGGATATTTATATGTGCTTTCATTTGTTATCAAGCCTACCAGTTTCTAACATCAGTTCTTAAATGACTAGATGTCATGCCTATAGGGGACAACACTACAAACTCTACCTAGATCTAAAATCAGTCAATCCAGTTCACGGTTAGTTCACTTCGAAATTAGTTTAATTAGTGGTTTATTTCCCCTAAAACGAATTCTTTCAAAATCTGCTTTAATCTATCATTAGACAGCATGCCTATAAGGATTCAAAAGTCTATTTTAAAATCTGCCCTATTTTACTATATAAAACGTAGTTATCATTATTCCGCGTGTAGGCAAGCCTGTAGGGCATTTTCAAATCCTATAACTCTAAAATGTTTCTGTTAATTAATGTCATTCTGATTTTAACCGGCTTAAAAATTAGTAGGCAAACTGATAGCGCCGTTATTTCTGAGTTTATAAAATAAATAAACTGCCTATCTTCTGTGTCTTGATATTCACTTAGACATCATGCCTTAGGATATTGTTTAACAAAAGGCCCTTATCTGTGTTTGAGTCATGCTGCCTATGTGCATTGTTTGTGGAGGTAAACTTGAGCCTCTAAATGCTCCTTTTTTGTCTTATGTGCTAAGGTCCTAACTGTTCTTGCCTGTCGCCTTAGTATTTTCTCCTTTAAAATCTTAGGGATCTATCTAGAACTACCTATAGGTAGGGGTCCTAAATTTCCTCCAGGACCATTAAGAAAGGACGGGTAACAACACGCAATAGAGATCACTGACCAACACGTGCTTTAATGACCACTAAGGGGGTGAGAAGGGTAGATGTGGGATATGATGACTACATGCTAATGTCACGTGTAGCCCCTCATTGAGGAGTGTTTACCGGACATTGTGTGGGGTGATCCTATAGGCTAACCAACCTAGAACTCCTCCTTTCCCAAAATTCCTTTTGTTTAAAGCTTTGTTTTATGTGCATACAACTTGTCCAAAATCTTTGCCTTATTATTTGAAGTTATATAAGGTGCTTTACTTGCAAATTATTTGATTCAACTATTTATTTGTCAATGGACTAATTCATGAATATAAGTTCGGCCGGGACCCATAGTTGTGGACCAAGAGGGGTGCCTAACACCTTTCTCTCGAGATCATTTTGAGCCCTTACCCTAATCTCTGGTAATGCAAACCAATTCAAGAGTTAATTGCTCTAGGTGACCTAACGCACCTTAATCCGTTAGGTGGCGACTCTTCAAACACCCAATTCCCAAAAAGGAAATAAGTCATTACCCCTATGAATGTCGAAACCCGGACTTTCTCCATGAAGGGAAAAAGGGGGACGCGATAACGGACCTGGAGGATCATGTGACCCACTATGTCACTGCAGTGAAAGGCAATGACCTCGAAAAAGAATAAGTATCATCCATATTGCTGAACAAGTTTGGAGAGACCCTAACATGTGGGGCCCTAACTTAGAACTAGCAGTTACCTACGCGCTCCATATAAACGTTCGAGGAAATGGCCGACAAGTTTGTCACCGCCCATGCCGGGGCCAAAAAAGCGGAGGCAAGGGTGAACAACATATTCACCATTAAGCAATCACCTGGCGAAGGACTTAGGGACTTCCTCGCGCGGTTCAACCGTGTAAGAATGACCCTTTTGAATGTTTCTGAAGGAATGACGGTGGTTGCTTTCCAGAATGGGCTGATTAGAAGTGGTCGCGGGTGACCAAAAAGTTCCTAAGCCGACTCATGAAATACCCTCCAACCATTTGGGATGAGATACACAATGCCTACTGTGCTGAGGTAAGAGCTGACGATGATGATCTCAACGAACCTACTCAACGTCAAACTTCAGTCCAACTGGAGTCTAGGAAAGACCAAAGAAACGACAGCAGAAGAGATATAGCAGGGTCATGACCTAATCGAGAAAGACATCAACCTTACATTAGAGACACCCTCATGCCACCTCCACGTCACGACGAAGGTTCATCCAGGCCGCGAACGGGAATCCACCGAAATGAAAGAGGTATTCCCCCTTTATTATCAGCTCACAATTTTTGTGTTTTCCCCTCAGAAATAGTCTATGCATTGGAAAAGCTCGACCCAAAGGTAAAATGGCCACAAAAGATGAAGTCCAATCCAAACACCAGAAAGTCAAACGCCTTTTGCGAATTCCACCAAGAATGGGGTCACAAGACCAAGGACTGCATCGCCCTTAGATAGTAGGTTGTGAACATGTTTCACCAAGGGCACCTAAAAGAGTTGATGAGTGATTGAGAGAGGTCCAACTTCGCCCGAGAGTGAGAACAACATCAGGGGCCGCATAAACCACCCTCCCCAGTTCTGACCATTCAAATGATCATCAAAAGAGGCGATGATGCATCTATCAACAACGTGAAGTTCACCACCACTCACAATCTCAAGCGGTCAATCACCCACGAACGGTATGAAAAACTCAAAGAAAGTATCATCTTTGATAAGTCGGATACCCACGGTTTGGTCTTTCCTTACTATGACGCCCTTGTCATTGCTTTTCGTGTTTTTGATACTGATGTAAGACGTATCATGGTCGATGATGGAAGCGGTGCATGCATCATCCATCCTCGAGTTCTCACCCAAATGAAGCTCGAGGATAGGATAGTGACGCGATACATAACGCTAACAGGTTTTAACAATGTAGTTGAGTGGACATCTGGAGAAATCATGTTGCCCGTCTTGGCCGGCGGCATTACCTTAGAGACCACGTTCCATATCATGGACCAGGATATGGAATACAACACCATCATAGACGGACCATGGATACACGCCATGAAAGTTGTCCCCTCCAGTTTGAACCAAGTCATTAAATTTCCCACCCTCTTGGGAGTATTCTGCATCTGGGGAAATTACCGCACTCCCAAAAATGCTACAAAATTGCCCAAGACTGCACATACACCCAATATTTGAAAGGAAAAGACGAGGAAATATAGCAATTAGTGAAGCCGGTGTTGGATGGCGATGAAAAGAAAGACATCATCAGCGACCCCGAAATCATAGAAGCCACGGGGTTAACAGTAGAAGACCTCGACCCCGTCCAATTAGATGACGATGATCACAGCAAGAAAGCTTTCATCGGCCATAAACTCCAAGATCCAGGTAAAATTTCACCAATTCTTAGAAAGTAACGTAGACCTATTTGCTTTTTTCCATGCAGACATGCCAGGTATATGTAACACCCCGTAAATTTGAATCAGTTGTGGATGTATTAAATGAGTATTAATGTGATGGTTATCAATAGGTTATGATAATAAGTGTAAGAGGCATATCATAAGTGATTTGGGGTCCAAGGAAAGACCTAAGTCTAAGCCAAGTTGGAAACTTACATGATAGACTAAAATTCTAAATGAGCACGCACAAGACTGTAATTTGGACAAGCATATCTACATTTATATAAGGTGTTATGTGATGTAAAACCTATAAAATGAAATATCTTCGAGTCTAGTTTCTAACTCTTCAAACCGTTAGGTATTTGGACACTCCTACCAGAAGTTATGACCAAATTACCAAATGCTGGCAGAATTGTACACTACTGCGTTGCCCCATGCGTCGCCCCATGCGGCGCGGCTGTGTAGATTATTAGAGCACCTCAAAATTTCGTTCTTAGACACATATTGCATTACCACGCTGCCCCAAGTGTCTCCCCATGTACCGCGGCTGTGCAAATCTTCGTTTCTTTTCAACCCGACCCCATTTTTATATAAAACCTTCGGGGGTTATTTTTCCCACTTCATTTGAACGAATTTTAGGGTTTTCCTCTACTATATCAAGACTTCCAACCCTTCCCATATTCAAGGTAAGCAATCCCCATTATCTTGGTGTGAATTCCATCATTTATACACTAGTATTGATGAAATCTACACATAAAATACTTGGATCTTCAAGGGATTTCTTCGAGAACTCAAAGGAGAGTTTTGCAAGATTTCTTCCAAAAAGGTAATCCTACACCCTTATACTTACATGTATGGATTTATTAAGGAAATATGAGTATGAATAAGTATTGGAACTCTTGGTATGGTGATTGGAAATTATAAGTTCCCAATTTAATTACACAACTATTATAGAGATTGAAAAATGTTTATTTAATGGAACTTTGATGGTAGGGTGTGGATGGATGGTCATATATGTGATGTTGGAAGTTATAAATTGGTTAATCATGATGGTAGAATAAATTGTTGATTAATGGTGGTAATTAGATGAACTAACTATATGGTGATGAGATTTAGAGATATATGCCTACAAGGTGTTTGATAATATGCCTAAATGGCTTAAGTTATAGAATTTGTTACTAATATTGGTACCATTGGATGTTCTATTGTAGATTGAAAGTTCTTAGTGCTGTGGATCATTGTAGTATCACTAAGGGATGAAATTGAGGTATGTGAGGCTAACTCTTTATGTTTGGGAACGTTAATGATTCTCCCTACACTACGTTTCTTTTACGATGTAACTAACTGCCTCAAAAATAGAGTTTAGCCTAGCTCCTTGGATAATTGTAGAACTTCTATTCTCTAGCTTCATAACTCGCTCATGACTTTCATTCTAAACGTTGTGGGCTCAGTGCGTATTCAATATAGACTTGGGTTTGATTGCCCCGAGTCTTAGTATAGATTACTCAGTATGCCATAAACAATTGAAGTTTCAGTGTTCATAATCAGTTCAAGAATACATGTCTCAGTCTAGTCCTATTCAGTATTCCAGTATTATATAACTCAGTGTGATCCAGTATTCCAGTATCATGTAACTCAGTGTGATTCAGTATTTCATTATCATATATTGCGGTATGATTCTCAGTTCCTGATTTTAAATCCTTGAATGTTGAACACTTGTATTTGGGCCTGAGGCCGCAGTTTATGCTTTATGAATCTTTGGGCCTGACGCTGCAGTTTATGCTTTATGCATTTTGGACCTGAGGTGGCAGTTATGTATACATATACTTGGGCCAAAGGCCGCATTTTGTGTACATATATATATTGGGCCTGAGGCTGCAAGTTAATATTTAGATAAACAGGTTGTTCATCATTTAGAAGAGGGAGTATTCATATCCTTACTTCCTTTTAGTTCAACTATTAGTTACTATTCAGTTATCATATCAGTTACCAGTTATCAGTTCAATTACTAGTTATTAGTTATCATTTCAGTTTCAGTTTCAATAGTTATCAGTGCAGTTATCAATTATAAATTCTCAATTATTAGTTTAGTTTCAGTTTCAGCATTTATAATTCTTTCTTTCAGTTGCTTTACATACTAGTACAATTCAAATGTACTGATGTCCCTTTTGCCCGGGGCTTGCATCTCACAATGCAGGTAATGATTTACAGGTTGATGATTCCGAGTCTAGGATTCTCGTACCAGCTATTGGGTGATCCATAGTTCTTTCGGGGCATTATCATTACCTTATGGTCTTTCGGTATTTACAGATAGACAGTGTTTTCAGTACTTCAATAGCGGCTTCATAGACTAGAGTAACAGTTAGACAGAGTGTTAGGCTTTTCATGTTAAGCTATGTTGGCTACAAATATGTTTCAAAATTGTATTAGTATTTCCGCACTTTGATTTATATCATCCAGACTTTCAGTATATCATCATGTGTTAGTTTATCTTCCGCATTCAGTATGTTATGATGTCACATGTTATTTCAGCCAGCCAGTTGGTTCGCTCGGTCACATGTAGTCAGGCACCGAGTGTCGTGTTACGTCCAGGCCCAAGTTTGGGGCGTGACAAAGCTTGGTATCAGAGCACTAGGTTCAAGAGTCCTAGGGAGTCTATGAAGCCGTGTCCAATGGAGTTTCCTTTATATGTGTGTGTTGTCCACTCATATAAATGGTTAACTACCAAGATATCACGGATTGTCTCATTTCTTTCTACTCTAGATCGTGCCATGAAGCTTAGAGCAATAGTTAACCTTCTCTTCCTATTGAATTCCATACATATCGAATGCGCAAGCGGCAGGCAAGAAAAGTCTAAGGTTTTAGAAAGGATGATTTGCATATTGTGGTATTACTATGGAGTACATGTTGGTAACAAATGAGATGTGAGAAGATGTTGAAAGTGGGATGTAATGGATAATAGTACAGATTACAGCATAACCGTATTAGAAAGTACAAAAGCAGTCATTATATTTTATGGTTATCAGTTTAACTCAGTTACCAGTTATACAGTCTTTCAGTTAGCAGGTTTATAGTTATTCAGTATGCCAGCTATTTGTTATTTAGTTACCAGACCTTCAATTTTTAGTGTATCAAAATTTCTGGAGACTTGTGAGTATACAGTGATGCATATGGATGCACAAAGAAAATGTAAGTAATAGTGATTATAGTGAAATCTTCACATGTTTTAGGGATTAAGACCCAAGACTCATCGGATGGTGCATGAAGTGATTTATTAGATGTGTATGGCATTGAATCTGTATGTCAGACCCCATGGTGTAACAGGTTAAGAATTCAACCGCATCGGGCATAGAATTGATCACTATAGTTTTGGACAGGAAAGAGCCTAAGGGAAATATAGCTAAGAATAATATGTTGTACGAAATTAGAAACAAGGATAGGCGACATTGAATTTTAGGGAATGATTTTAAGTTGTTTAGAAATCAGAACTAGAAAGTACCATGTTAGTAAATTTGTATACGAAGTGGCTATTATTGTGAGATAAAAGATATGGCAGTTCCCCTTCACATGATGTGACTATGTGTTTAGGACAGAGGTTTATAGTCTGAAGTGATTTTGAAGTGTATAGAAAGTTTGGGGTTAGATATTCCAATCTTGTTTAAGATAGATGAAATTTCCCTAAGTATGATCCATGTGCATAGTTCAAAAGAATGATAGTTTACAGCAAAAGAATATGGTCAGATAATGAGGGAAGTTAGGATAAACCTTATACTTCACTTTATTTATTCAAAGCAGAGCAAGAAAACATGATGCTAGCAGGTGGTTAGTAAAAGAATAGTAAATAAGTTTTGAGTAAATATAGTAAATTAGCAATTTCAGCAGAGCTAGTAGAGGTAAGATTTGATTCACTTAGTCAGGTTTACTCTAGTGAGTGGATGATAGTTTGAAATATCGAACATGTGTTAGAATCCAAAGAGTTTAAGTTAAACCCAAAGTACAGTGATAGTGCGAAAAAAATCAGCTAGCAGTGAGAGAGCAAGCAATAGAAGAATAGCCTTTAGGAGTTATCGAAATGTGGTTACTCCAAGATTGACAGCGTGAACAGAGTTAAATTATTAAGATTGTGTATGATAGGTGTGAATACATTAGCTTTTCGTTATATGAATAATTTAGTTTTTCCTAGCTGAGAAGTAAGTTGGGAGATGAGTCGCCATTGACGTAGAGTGCAAAGAATTGCAGAAAATAAGGAAGGTTATTTGGATCCCAACAAAAATAGAAGGATGCGCAAGTATAAGACCTTTGGTCTAAGGGGTGAAGCAAAACTTTTCAGTAAGTCAAGTTAGAGATTTGAAACCCGAATATTTAGCATGGATATGGAAACGAAAATCAGTTCGGTAATGAGGGAAAATTGTATAATTACTACAAAGAATATGTCTAGCATGTGTAAGAAACACAACGTGAGTAGAATGACCACTGAGCTTAGTTAATGATGATAAAGTGATCATAGAAAAGCTATAAAATCATGCCCAGTTATGTATTACGAGGGCAGTGCCATTGTACAAGACTCTAATATTCCGAGTAGTGGTCAGTGACTTAGCTCACAACAATACTATAAGTGTTTTCATGAAGTGCTTAAAAAGATAATCAAGTGTGGGAAGTATAGCTCATGAAAAAGGTAGACAAGAGAACTATGTTGAAAGAAGTCCGCTGCTTAGCCAAGGTAAGAGTTCGACTTTCGGACACCAAAGATAGCAGAGTTGTTGTGTAGAACAAGAACTGTTCCTCCTTAGAAGCCGAAGT